TTTGATGGGGGGGGAGGCTATGGCAGATGATAAGAAGGTTCTCATGTTACAAACAACCAGTAGAATTGGTACCATTTGTATGAAAATAAAAAATATGCAAAATACGTGTGAACAAGGTGTCCATCAATTAAAGTGTTTGTTCACCAATGCCAAAAGTCTGCCAAGCAAAATAGGTGAGTTGGAAGCTTTGGTGCATGAAGAAAATTATGATTTAATTGGTATTGCTGAATTTTAGCTTCATTCTTCACATGACTGGGCCATTAATATTCCTGGCTTTTGTTCTCCTTCAAAGAGACAGAGTAAATAGGAAAGGTGGTGGTGCCTGTCTCTATGTGAGAAGTGATCTCAGAGCGAGTGTGAAAGAGGACCTAGTTGACTGAGAGTGTGATGAGGCTGAAGTATTATGGGTGGAACTGCACATGGGGATGCGTACTACAAAGGTAATCATTGGAGTTTGTTATAGGCCTCCCATTGTAAATGAGGAGGTGGAAACTCAGCTCCTTCACAGATCGAAAGGGCTGCAAGGGCTGGGACAGTGATAATATTAGGGGATTTTAACTACCCGGAAATTGACTAGAGTAATGGTACTGCATGTGCAGTTAAAGGGCAAAAATTTTTAAACCTACTACAGGACAATTTTATGGTACAGTTCATAGAAGCTCCTACTAAAATGATGCTCTGCTGGACCTGGTAATCTCAAATCATGCAAAGCTTATTACGAATGTCCATATAAAAGAACATCTGGCTAGCAGTGACCATAATATGATTTAATTTTTTGTTAACTGTAAACAGCAAGTAGATATAAAAAAAAAATTAAAACACTCAATTTTTCAAGGCTGAGAGCTGCTCTTCAAGACTTAGACTGGGAGGGAATATTGGCATCGATGAACACAACACAGAAATGGGAGTTCTTCAAAAAGACTGTATGTGAGCAAACTGCAAAATATATTCCCATGGGCAACAAGTTTAAAAGGCTAAAAATCAAACCTATGTGGCTTACGATCAAAGTTAAAAAAAAGCTATAGATAATAAGAAAAGAGCTTTTATTAAATATAAAAATGAAGGAAAGCTATCATTGTTTAAACATTACAAAGAATATAACAGAATATGCAAAAAGAAAATAAAGGCCGCAAAAAATGAAAACGAATGACAGATTGCAAAGGATAGCAGAACCAACCCCAAAACATTCTTCAAATATATTAATAGTAACAAGGTCCTGTCTGAGCCTGTAGGCCCTTTACAAAATAATCTAGAGTGGGTGACTGGGGACAAAGAGAAGGCAAATTTATTTAATACCTGCTTCAGCTCTGTGTATTCAAAGGAGCATAGGGGAGCTCTTGTCCATAATGGGCATGGTATTGACACAGCTCCAGATGATCCACATTGGCTCACAATTGATATGATCCAAACATATTTAGACAGTAGAAAGGTGAATAAAGTATCTGGACCTGATGGCATACACCCATGGGTCCTTGAAGAGTTGAACTCTGTCATTTCAAAGCCATTGTTTCTATTTTTTAGGGACTCTTTAATGATTGGCATAGTACCACTGGATTGGCGTCAGGCCAATGTGGTGCCAATATTTAAAAAGGGGTCAAAATCTTTATCAAGTAATTATAGACCTGTTAGTTTAACTTCTATAGTTGGGAAGATACTGGAGAGTTAATAAAAGACCACATAGATGAGTTCTAGCTGGGAAAAAATATTTTAAGCAACAGATTCATGAAAGACAGAAGTTGTCAAACAAATCTGATTTCTTTTTATGAGGGGGTGAGCAAAACCTTGGACAGAGGGGTGGCAGTGGACGTGATATACTTGGATTTTGAAAAAGCGTTTGACACAGTTCCCTACACACGGCTAATGTGTAAGGTAAAGTTTAGCGGCTTGGAAAAATCAGTATGTAAACGGATAGAAAACTGGCTAAAAGATTGTATGCAAAGAGTATTGGTTAATGATTCATACTCTGAAGGGTCTAGGGTCGTCAGTGGTGTACCACAAGGTTCAGTGTTGGGACCCTTACTTTTTAATATATTTATAAATGATATAGGATCTGGGATTAAAAATTCCATTTCAGTCTTTGCAGTGGAATAACGTCCTTACAGGGTGTCTTCAACTTACAAGCCGACCTCAATGCACTGTTTAATTGGGCAACTATGTGGCAAATGAGGTTTAATGTTGATAAATGTAAGGTTATACACTTGAGGGCTAAGAATATGCATGCATGATCAGGGGCAGACTGACAACTCATAGGGCCCCCGGGCAATAGGGGATCATGGGGCCCCTTTGTCTTTGCCCAAACTCAAAAAAGCCTATGAAAAAGGTACCAGGGGCATCTCATGGGGCCCTCTACTGACCCCGGGCCCTCGGGCAGTGCCCGAGTTTCCAAATGGTCAGTCCACCCCTGTGCGTGATACATACTAGGGGGAGTACAACTGAGGGAATCAATGGTGAAGAAGGATCTGGGAGTTCTGGTAGATCACAAGCTTAATAATGGCATGCAATGCCAAGCTGCGGTTTCTAAAGCGAGCAAAATCCTCTCTTATATTAAAAGAGGTATAGAATCCAGAGAGAGAGATATCATTTTACCCCTGTACAAATCATTAGTAAAACCTCATCTGGAATATGCAGTTCAGTTTTGGGCACCAATTCACAAAAAGAACATTGGGGAACTGGAGAAAGTACAGAGAAGGGCAACTAAACTGATAAGAGGCATGGAGGAGATCAGCTATGAGGAAAGATTAGAGGAAATTAATTTATTCTTTCTTGAGAAGAGGAGATTAAGGGAGGATATGATCAACATGTATAAATACATCAGGTCATCACAGAGGACAAGGGGGCACTCTTTACATCTGGAGGAAAAGAAAATGTAATCTCCAAACATGGAAACGTTTCTTCACAGTGAGAGCTGTGAAAATGTGGAATAGACTCCCTCAAGAGTTGGTTCTGGCCAGCTCAGTGGATTGCTTCAAAAAAGGCCTGGATTCTTTCTTAGGGCTCGTTCACACTAGGCTGTTTTGCCAACGCTTGCCAAACGCCCCTATAGCGTTTGGCAAGCGTTTTTAACGCTCGGCAAACGCTCCGCAAACGCCGCATGCGCGGTTTAGCGGCAGTTGCTAGGCGTTTGCCGAGCGTTAATAACGCCCCACAAATGCCTATAATGCATTTGAGTGGTGTTAACCGCTACCCGCTCCGCAAACACCCCGCAACCGCGTCGCAAACGCACCGCAAACGCCGGCCGGGCGTTTGCGGAGCGGCACCATAGACGAGAATAGGAGGCTTCAAAGCCTCCTGACTCGACCAGAGGCGTCCGTTTTGCCGCAACGCGACGCAAACGCTCCTGTTAGAACAGCACCATGTGCTGTAATGTGCAGAATTGGCAGAGGCGTTTGGGAAGCGGTAAAAACGCTTCCCAAATGCCTCTCTGCCGCCTGCACACAAGGCTAGTGTGAACGTAGCCTTAGATACACAGAATATAAGTGGATACTAACATTTATAGGTAAAGTTGATCCAGGGAATATCCGGTTGCCTCTAGGGGGATCTGGAAGAAATTGTTTTCTCTGCAGGAGCAAATTGGATCATGCTTTGCTGGGTTTTTTTGCCTTCCTCTGGATCAGCTGTGGGTATAGGATTATTATTATTTTTTTTTTTTTAATGTTTGAACTGGATGGACTTTTGGCTTTTTTCAGCCAAACTAACTGTGTGAGACAAGCAGCCATTTTGGTGCCATGAAGGCAATGTGAGAAGAAAGGGGAAATACATCATAAAATCGAAGGGAACATGAAAAGATGGTGCAATAACCAAAATGACTACAAGATGGCAGTATATTAACCAACTATACTGAGGATAGTAAAGGATGGCTTAAAATAGCTTTTCTCATCAGCAGTTAGAGCAGTCTTGTGACTTCAGCAGAGCACTAGCTAAAGCTGGTAGGAGGGTTTTTCTTTCTGCTCTAGGAGGATGAAAAACCCCTGACCCTCTGTCTAGCAATATACACTAAACTGAGCATGTGCAGGTGGCTAAGGGTTCAGTCTGTCTTATCAGGTGGATATCTGAACAAGAAGAGGGACAGAAAAAACAGGATCAAATGACCTTTTTACAAAATGCAGAGGATTAACCCCTTAGGTTCTACAGTATGTATAACAAGCATGGTTTACTGCATATACAGACTGATTTTACTGTTGTGGGTTTAGTAGCACTTTAAGGAAATTAACTATATAAATTCTCAATTTGCAGTATTATGAACATCAACCATGAATATGCATTGCATTATATTTTCATACAACTGGTGTAACAGCACACTCCCTGTCTGGTATTGTATAATATATTACAACATAACCGTAGTTATGCAAGTGCAAATAAACAATAGTGCAATATCCACTTCTCTTGAAGACCTGAAAGACAAAAAGTAAAGAACATGCATATATATGCAACAACAGTAACTGCAATATAAGGCACCAAGTAGTGCTTCCCTTGATCATGGTATACAGTAGATTGCCTGCTTTAAAGTCTGCAGGTACAAGAATAGACCCAAGCATCTGGGTAAGAGTAGCTGGAGTAAGGTTAGTTGGTCTTGCATTGATTATGATAGACACTTCTGCCAGAAAGGTGGTTAAACTCTCATGAGTAAGTCTTGTGGAGTTCAAGTCCATTAACATAGAGTTCAGTATCCTGCGTGTGATGTTGCCTATCATTCTCTCCCATGAGCCACCCATGTGGGAAGAATGAGGAGCATTGAAAATCCATGTACAGCCCTTTTCAGCAGGCTCCGGTAAAGTTAGTTCCACAGTCAGATCTTAACGACTTCACTGACCATTTGATGGCAAGTAATCGCCTTAGAGCACTGATAAAACTCAAAGCATCTATGGATTCTATTACTTCATTGTGTACCTCATGCACAGCACAGGTGTACAGCACTGCTCATCATTTCCTGTTTGCTTAGCCACCTCTGGCCCTGCGTGCTGTTTTATTGTCCAAATATATCTAGACCAACATGAGTGAAAGGTGGGTCAGTACCATTTGGAAACTTGGCACTGCCCGAGGGTCCGGGGTCAGTAGGGGGACCCATGAGATGCCCCTGGTACCTTTTTCATAGGCTTTTTTGAGTTTGGGCAAAGACACAGGGGCCCCATGATCCCCTATTGCCCGGGGGCCCCATGAGTTGTCAGTCCACCCCTGGTCAGTACTTAACCTGTCAGCTGGCAAATCTGACCTTTGCTGTTGCTGATGTTTTACCTCTTAGTTTGTGCATTGTGCAGTATAACTACAATCTGTCCTTTTGCTCCAACAATCCAAAGAGCTGTTGCTCTTAAAGCACCCTCTGTGAAATGTCTACTTTGGTGCTTAACCCTTTCATGGTGGTGCTGTATGAGCAAGGTGAAGAAATGATGGCTACCAGGTATAATAAGAGGATTCTGTTCCTGCTCTCCCAACTTAGCTTTGTTTAAACATCCGTACGTCCGGCGAGACGGACGTGTCTCGGCGAGCTCCTGCTCCCCCGGCCCCAATCCGCTGCCATCTGGGCGGCAGCGGACCCTGACGGGGGCCCCACGACCCTCCGGTCCCTGTTCGCCAGCCAGGGAAGGCCACTGGACCTTTCTCCCGGAGCTCCGGGACTTGCGGCCTACCCGGCACCTGAAGCCGCGGCCTCGATTTCTGGCGCGGCCGACCAGGATCGCCGGACTTCAGCCCGGACTACTGCCACTCCGCTCCTCGGTCCCCGCCGATCAGGGGATCACCCCTGCGCCCCTACCGCTGCCATCAGGGCCCATCCGGGCCCCTGTGTCTGCTGCCGAGGTCCCCACCAACACCCACAGTCACTCCGTCCCTCCAGCGGAGCTCCGGCGGTTCGCAGCAGCCTGAGGCCTACCGCGGCACCCGAAGCCGCGGTGTTTCCTGCCAGCCGTGGCTGGAATCGCGGCGGGAATTGCGGCCGCGGCGGGACGCCTCCGCTGCTCCGGGAAGCTACCACCACCACCAACGGTCCTGCTAACCCAGGAGGGATCCACCGACGCTCCAGGACACCAGGTACTTCACCAGGGGCGCCCACTACCCACCAGGGAGCCCAACCACCATCACACCGCCAGCCTCCAGGGACTCACTCACTCAGGGATCCCACCATCCACCTGAAACCCCAAACCACCAGGGACCCTAAGCCACTATCCCTCCAGGGATCGCTACTACCCCACCAGGGATAGCACGGCCACCATCCCACCGGGGATCCCCTGCCCACCACCCCACCTGGGATTACCAGCCAGCCACCACACCAGGGAACGCTCGCCCAGCACCCTGATTTCCGGCACGCTATTCCCTCTGGCGACGCCCCGGCGACTAATGGCCCACCACGACCCTTGAAGCTGCGGTCTCTCCTACCGGCCGCAACAGATCACGGTTGAGCACAAACCACGCAGGGCCGACGATCGCTACCGTAACGCCCCGCTCGACTCTGATGACGATCCTTCAACACCTTCAGCGCCTCACGACGCCGAGCCCTCAGCACCCGACGCCTGGCCTCAACAACCCCAGTCACCGAGCCGCCAGCATCACCAGTCGCCGTGCCTACCATCACCCCCAGCCATCGCACCCTACGACCCCTCCACTACCGAACCACCGTACCCACTGAAGACATGCCACAGCACCCATGGTCGCCAGCTTACTGCACCCACAGACTGCTGCCAACCAGCTGCCGCCCTCCACCCTCACTCTACCCCTACAGAAGGACTCAAATGACTCTCCCATGGTAACAGATTCCCCACACACCTTGCCCTGACCTGTATCCCTTCACCTCCCCTGACCCAACTGTCACCGCACCCACCCCAACATGCCTCCTGCACTCCTCCTCCTCATTTTCCTCTCCACCATCCCAAAAATCGCCTCCCTCTACCCGCCTACCCCCCCAAAACAGCTCTACATTGCCCCTTCACTACTCCCCTCTCCCCACTACGGCACTCACCACCTCCTCCTGCTACTCCACTCCCCCGTCGACGACCACGTGCCACCACTATCAGACCCACACGCTCCTACACTTCCCATTCCCATGCCACCTTCCTCACCCTTCTCCTTCTCCTATCTGCTGGGGACATCTCCCCGAACCCTGGCCCCTCGCCACCTCACCCCTCCTCTAGGGACCCCCCTGCTCCCGCCAGCTGCCGTAACCCCCTCAACCTCATATCTGTGCCCCTTCTCCCCGCATCCATCCCCCCTCTCTCGGTTGCACTCCTGAACGCCCGCTCGGTCTGCAACAAACTTACTGCCATCCATGACCTCTTTATCTCCCGCTCCCTTAACCTCCTAGCCATCACCGAAACCTGGGTACAGGCCACTGACTCCACCTCCCCTGCGGCACTCTCCTATGGAGGTCTCGTCTGGTCCCATTCACCAAGACTGAGCGGTCACAAAGGTGGTGGGGTCGGCCTGCTCCTATCACCGCTGAGCACCTTCCAGGTCCTCCCTAATCCTCCCTCCCTAACTTTCTCCTCCTTCGAGGCTCACTGCATCCGGCTCTTCTCACCCCCCCCCTAAGGATCGCAGTGATCTACAGGCCTCCCGGATCCATACCCCGCTTCCTGGATGACTTCGCTGCCTGGCTTCCCTTCTTCCTCTCCTCTGAGCTACCAACCATCATCCTCGGGGACTTCAATATCCCCATCAATGACAACAGCCCGGCTACTTCCCAATTCCTCCACCTAACCTCCTCCTTCGCGCTCACACAGCACACTCAATCCTCCACCCACATCATTGGGAACACCCTGGACCTCGTCTTCTCCCACCTCTGTACCCTCAACCAGTTCTCTAACACCCCCTTCCCTCTCTCCGACCACCACCTCCTCACGTTCTCCATCTCCCCTTCCCCTAACTCCCCCCCCCCCCAGAGCGCCAAACCATCACCAGCCGCAACCTTCGCAACCTGAACCCGGCCCCCCTCCACTCAGCTGCCGACCGCCTACACGACAGAATCCTTCCACTGTCTTGTCCTGACCTAGCCACTAACACGTACAACGACTCACTATCAGCTACCCTAGACTCTCTGGCACCCCTAACCACACGCTACATCAAACCCAGACCGCTCCAACCATGGCAGAACGACCACACTAAATGCCTCAAACGTCGCAGTCGTGCGCTGGAGAGACTATGGCGCAAAACCAGGTCCCCCCGTTCATTCTCCCTCTACAAATCTGCCTTCCTCACTTACACCTCCTCCCTCCACGCCGCCAAGCAGGCTTACTTCGTAAACCTGATTAACACCCTCTCCTCCTGCCCTCGCCGACTCTTCTCCACCTTCAACTCCCTGCTCTCTCCCCCCCCTCCTCCACTCAGTACCTCACTCACCGCCCACGAGATTGCCACTCATTTCCACAATAAAATTGATGCTATCCGTCAGGACATAGTCAACTCGCAATCTACCTCCCCACCTAGCCTCCCCCCCCCTATCTCCCCCTCATCTCTTCCCTCCTCTGACCTCGCAACCGCACTGCCCCCCTCCACACCCAAGACCCCGCTTACCGTAACCCCACCAGCTCTGCACTCCTTCAGCCCCGCTACCACTGAGGAAGTCACCAGGGTCTTCTCTGAAGCCCGCCTCACTACCTGCCCCCTAGACCCTATCCCCTCTCGACTCCTCCAGTCACCCCCCTCTTCCCTCATCTGCTCCCTCACCCACATCTTCAATCTCTCCCTCTCTACCGGCGTATTCCCCTCCCCCCTAAAGCATGCGCACATCACCCCCATACTCAAAAAGCCCTCCCTGGACCCCTCTGACCCAAACAACCTCAGACCCATCTCCCTGCTGCCACTCACTTCCAAACTCCTGGAGCGCTTAGTCTACAACCGCCTAAGCGCCCACCTAACTGACAAACAACCTCCTTGATCCACTACAGTCCGGCTTCCGTCCCCTACACTCCACCGAAACCGCCCTCCTCAAAATCACCAACGACCTACTTACCGCCAAAGCCAAAGGCGACTACTCTGTCCTCCTCCTCCTGGACCTCTCCGCGGCCTTCGACACAGTTGACCACCCCCTCCTCCTTAATAAACTATTCTCCCTTGGCGTCAGAGACACCGCTCTCTCCTGGTTCTCCTCTTACCTATCCCGACGCTCCTTCAGCGTTTCCTACAATGGTGCCACCTCCCCTTCCCTCCCCCTCTCTGTTGGGGTCCCCCAGGGCTCTGTCCTTGGACCCTTTCTCTTCTCCATCTACACCTCCTCCCTTGGCAAACTCATACACTCCCACGGCTTCAACTACCATCTCTATGCTGATGACACTCAAATTTACCTCTCCACCCCTCACCTCACCTCCACTTTCTCCGCCCGCATCACTCACCTCCTAAACGACATCTCTGACTGGATGTCGCTCCATTTCCTCAAACTCAACCTCTCCAAAACCGAGCTTCTCGTCTTCCCTCCTGCCCGCCCCCCCCCCCCCCCATCCTATCCATCACTACTAACATCACCACCATCAATCCCGCCCCGCAAGCCTAAGTCCTTGGGGTCATTCTGGACTCTAACCTCTCCTTCCAACCTCATGTCAAATCACTGACAAACACATGCAGGCTCCACCTCCGCAATATCGCCAAAATACGCACCTTCCTTACCCCAGACACCGCTAAACTACTTGTGCACTCCCTGATTATCTCACGCCTTGACTACTGCAACTCCCCCTCCTCACCGGCCTACCCCAGTGCAAACTCTCCCCGCTTCAGACCATCCTGAACTCAGCTGCCAGACTCATCCACCTCACCAGCCGCTCCACCTCTGCCACCCCCCTCTGCCTCTCCCTCCACTGGCTCCCTATCGCCCAACGCATCAAATTCAAACTACTACTCACTCTGACCTACAAAGCCATTCACAACACTGCCCCTAACTACCTCACCGACCTGATTCCCAAGTACCACCCTACCCGTACCCTTCGCTCTTCACAGGACCTCCTTCTATCTTGCTCCCTGGTCTCCTCCTCACACGCACGTCTGCAAGACTTCTCCAGGTCCTCCCCCATCCTCTGGAACTCACTACCCCAATCCATCAGACTGTCACCTTCCCTCCTCACCTTCAGGCGCTCCCTGAAAACCCACCTCTTCAGGGAAGCCTACCCCACCCTCACCTAACTGCTGCTCTCCTTCATTCCTCCTACCACTCCATCCCCCACAGCCACTTCCTCCTGTACCACTACCCCCTCCCTCCCAGATTGTAAGCTCGAAAGAGTAGGGCCCTCTTACCCCTCGTGTGCTGTTCGTAGCTGCTGTAATGTTTCATGTATTGTCCCCCCCTCTATTGTAC